ACAAAATAATGTTTGGAAATTGAATTATTTTTTAATTTTTTGTATAGATGGCCAAAAAACACTCCAAACTATTGTTGTTATGTTAATGTTAATTAATTTAATTAACAAATTTAAATCAATATTGGCATATTTATAAGAGTCTAATTTCAAATTTATATAGTAATTAAATTTGCATAGAAAACAAATCGACTTTACCTTATTTATTAGCGATTTGACAACGAGTTTATGTCAATTTCCTTATAAGAGACATTTTGTAACGAATTTTCATAGCCTCCTTTGGTTGAGCGCGTCAAGGCGCAGCTCCCAAGGTAGAAGGCAAGGTAATGGGTTCAAATCCTAGTGACATCTCCCACCAGTAATTATCGCAGAATAATTAAGAAAATGAAATAAATAGATTTTTTTATTGATTCACGTTATTTAAACTATATAAAAACAAAATATAATCGTTTCCTATTTTTTAAGCAATAATTTTTGTCTATTTTTAAAATAAATTACGTCTACATTACCTACTTTATCTACCTATGTATACCTATCTAGTAACTGAAACTTCTAATTCATTTAGTGGTAGATTAGTTACAGATTGAATTAGTAACTTTTGACTAATTCACAGTAAACGAATCCGCCCTATTTGAATTAGTCAAAAATGACTAATTCAAATTTAGAGAGTGGAAGACGGGCGAGTATATTATTTCGTCCGTTAAGTATAGACAGCTGTTTTTTAGATAATGAGAAAAAATAATTTTACTTTTTTTTAAAGAATATACTATACGGAGTATAATCTCACATTGATATATAAAACCATGATTCTGCTGAGAAAGAAATCAGAAAAACCCTTTTTTTTATCGAAACACAAAAAATTAATGAGACCATCAAATTTGTTTATCAAATATATGATATTTAACATAAATTGCAAAATAAAAGTTAAAATAATTTTAGTTTGTAAATTGAAATTATATAAAAAGAAAATAATATATTTCTTAACAGCTATACAGATTGAGTTAAAAAAATTGTTTTTATTAAATTAACAACAAATGTTATTAATAAAAATAGTTGAAACAGAAAATTTAAACTAATAACGTTCAATTTTTTGAAAGCTACGTGACCTTTATTAATAAGATAATAAAATAGTTTAAGAAAAATGTTTAATATATACAGCTGTTTATACCTAGCGGGCTAAATATTGTATTTTGATTATTTCGCCCGTTTTTGTTTAAACATTTCACGGACGAAATAATATACTCGCCCTGCTTCCAGATACTCGATTTTATCTTGAACGGGCGAAATAATCTATTTTTCTTATTTTGCCCGTCTTCTAAAACACATTCATTTCGACGGGCGAAATAGCCAGTTCACACAGTCGTATCTATTTCGCCCGTGACGGGCGAAATAACAGAAATGAATTAGTTCGCCCGAGCGGGCGAAATAGAAACAGCCTTATTCTTAACACATCCTAACTACAATACGCATACATAAACGCAGAATAACGCAACGCATATAGATACATAATTCACGCTGAAATGAGAAATTCTGAACTTCTTTATATACTAAATAGACAGATTTTTCTGCACTTGTGAGAAGCTTAATATTACATTGTTAAATATTTAAAAAAAAAAAATTATTTATTAAGAAATAATAAAAAATTTTATTACCTTTCAAAGAACAATTTTTATCATAAAATCATTTAATTCAATTATAGAAGCAAACTTATAACAAATGTATTCTATAATTATATTTAGAAAAAGAAATATAGAATAAGTAAAAACAATTATTTATCAAAACTTTTTCTAGTCTATATTGCAGAAATAAAAATTATTTAAAAATTATGAGCAAACAAATGAAGTATTTTATTATTAAATATTAATTAAAATTATTTTTAATTCATATTGTAGTATTAAAAATTATTTTAAAATCAAGATGTCCAGCAAGGCTGAAAGAAAAAAATTCCCTGATTTTTCTCTGACATTTTTTTCGTGACTACTCGTTAGTGATCGGACTAACTCGCTTAACTTCGTCAAACTTTGGTGAGTTTTGATATTTTTCTATCATTTTTTGAAAGAAAAAGTTTCTATTAGTATTTTATGTAAATATAAGGATTTAACACCAATCCACTTTCTTATCGACTATATCAAAATGTAAAATGATTATAGGTACCAGTTAACGGAATTCTAAATACAGAAAATGAAAATGAAAAAAAACAAATTTTCGGGTATTGTTACTATGATTTTCAATGCTAGAAGCAATTTAAAAAACAGAAAATTGCTTTCAACGCGAGAAAAACAGTAATTATCATTTTTTTGTCACCTTTCTGTTGAAAATTTCAAAAAAAATAATATTTCCTAGACTTGGAAGCAATTTTTCTGTTTTTTAAAAGGCTTTTGGCATTACAAATAAATAATTATCATAAAAAATTGCTGGCTAAGCGAGGTAATAGCAATTTACTTAAAATTTCGGGATTTTCGTAAAAACCTCCATGAAGTTGGCGTCGAAAATTATTCTTCACGGGACAAAAAATATCAAATCATTTTTAAAAAGGTTTTGGGTCCACATATTATCTTGAAAAGTATTTCTCATTTTCTTATTTGGATCGAAAATCCTAAAAAAAAAAATTTGTCATTTTTGGTCCTGTGAAAAACAATTTTCGGCGCCAAGCGACGATGCCAACTTCATGGAGGTTCGTCAAAAACGTGACAAAACAAAGATAAATATTATTTTCCTCGTGTCGAAAGCAATTTTTCTGTTTTTTAAATTGCTTCTAGTATTGTAATTGTAACAAATAATTATCAAACGAGAAAAATTTTTTCCGAGGCAAGAAAATTGCAATTAACTTGAAATTTCGAGATTTTCGAAAAATCCATACCAATACAATAATTTTGTTTTTATTTCAGATTTTTGAGGGTTGAAAACAATCAAATTTGATTAATAAGAATTAAAATTTTTACTTTTATGTTTTTTGATGAATCAAAGTTGGTACCTTCAGTGTTATTACCATTTTGAGGAAAAAAACTTTTTTTCTAATCTAACAAAATTATCACGTTGAGAAAATAATTTTTTTCCACATTTTTTCGTAAAAAAATTATTTGTGGCCCAAAAATAATAATGAAACTAAAGTTACCAACGCTTAATCAACAAAAAAAATAATAGTTAAGGATTCTAATTTTCATTAATCAAATTTTATTATTTTGAACCGTACAAAACCTGAAATAAAAAAAAATATTTTTTTCAATGCTAAAAGCTTTTTAAAAAGCAGAAAAATTGCTTCAAAGTCAGAGAAATAGTAATTTTTTTGAAATTTCGGAATTTTCGTAAAAATCCGTAAATTGACATTTTCTCGCCTTAGAAGAATTTTTTCTCGTTTGATAATTATTTGTTTTAATGCTAGAAGCAATTTTTAAAACAGAAAAGTTGCTTCCGACGCGAGGAAAAAAATATTTATTTTGACGTGACAACGTCTTACTCCGAGGTCTAGGGAGCCAGTCAGAAAAATAGGCGTTCATATCGCCGTCGATTTTTCGAAAACTATAAGTCATATTTTTAAGATTTTTGTGTTACGTGATTAATTTCGATCTAAATCAAACTTATTTTTGTCAAATTTGTAAATGAAATTTTTTACAGTTTTTTATGTTACCGACCAGTTAAAGATTTAACATATTAGTATAAAGCGCCACTGCTGACAGTATCCACTATACCTATATATGTATAATAGTCAAAATGAACATGGTTGCCGAAGCTGTCACTTTGTTTATTTGTTTTTGTAAGTATCGTTATTTGAAGAAAAAAATGTGGAGTGATATGCGATCGTGTAGTGTAGAGTAGTGTAGTGTTGGCCTGTGTACATAGCATAGTCATAGTATTGCCAATTGCTGAAATTTTGCACCGTAATAATATCGAAACATAACCTCAATTTTTTTTCTCTTTATTTTATTAAAGTTAATAAAATTTTGAAAGAAATGACACCTTGACAAAGAGAATATGTTAATTTTTCAATTAGATATCTAAGAAAAACCCAATTTTCAATGTTTTTACTATTTTTTTTATTTCTCTGGCAAAAATTAACATTTTTAAACGTTCTCAGGCTCATTGAAATCGTATTTTGTTATGCAATTCAAATTATATAAAACAATTCATGTACACATTCTTCGCTAGCGTATGCAAACCCTGAAAGTTGGTTCATAAAATGTCAAAAAATTGTGATTAATATTTATGTTACATCCCGAGCGAAAGGCGAGGTTAATAAATATGTATATTTTGAATATAATTTTAATTTATAAGGGAGGCAAGGTAGGCTGATTACAGTCAGATTGGTAAGTTCTGACTATTTATTTTTATGTGAGATCGTTGTTATCTATCAATCCTATGGGGGTCGTCTTTATTAGTTTATTTAACAATTGGTCAAACTTTATCCATTATTTATAAGATTTATGAGTTTTATGATTAAATTTTGAATGAAATGAAATAAAACGAAATAATAGTAATCTTTTGATTTATTTCAATAAATTATTTGAAAAGCAAATAATATGAAAAAGTACAGTTTTGATGTGAATACAGGTGTTAAAATTTATATGAAAATGTAGAAGTTAACAAATAGATAATTGGTACTTACAACTACCTCTTATGAGGGCCGAAAAACAAGATGATTCAAGTGGTTGACACTTGAGAATTTAACGCAGCGGTGTTCTTTCAATTTCACACAGAATGGTTGTTTTACACACACTGTCTTTAGTTCATAACTTCCGAAATCTTACTTATTTTCAAAAGTTACACTAATTCGACGGTTAGATGCGAATTTTAATAATGTCTCACAATTCAATTTATAAGAGAACTTATTCTTTAAGAACACGAGTTTACTTAGTTTTAGAAATTTGCAAGTTTAAATTAAGTGCATAACCGAAGGGTCTCTCGACAGAACGTTAATCTCTGCACAAATGTCTCTATTCGTATTTTGATATGATTTTGCAGATTTTTGAACACGAGTTTACTTGTACTGTTAGACTTGAAAGATTTTACAATTATCGAAAAGAGCAAAATATTGACTTATTATTAGACGTGAAGTGCGATCTTAGAACCGGAGAACTGACGACGCCCCATGCTAATTGCAGGGTTTTTATACTAGCAAAATCATCCTTCAGTGGGAGAAAATGAGCAAAGATCATGTCCTGATCGAATTATAATTTTAGAATCACGAAGACAATTTCTTGGATCTTATAGATATAGGTCGCTGGTCGGCATATGCATCTACAGTCTTTTCTATAGGGGTATTGTATTGCAACGCGAGGCGAAAGCTACCCTGTGGTCACGTAGCATAAGCTTATGTGCTTGCGCCTCGCGATGCAATATATGAGTCATATATTGACTTCAGTTGCGGATGCTACAATTTTCTATTGGTAATGGTGTGAAAATCATATCAAGTGGCATAGTATAGCTGTAAGAAGACTAAACATTTAGGTCTCTTACTACCAAGAGTATTATTAAATGTACATGCGACTTGATATGATGTAAACACATCGGTAGATATTAGCCTATGCAACTGCATAAGACTCATCGTGAGAAAGGAATTGAACAAAGAATCCTTTATTTCAAACTAAAATGCTTCCAAAACGACTCGTAGTAAACATGATTGCTTGCAAATATTAACAGAAGGAATGGGTGAGAACAATGAATTTTCTTATATACACCCTCCTTCTACTAATATTTGATAATTTATATTATTTTATGTATATACGTGTTCTTTATACTTTTAAGAAAAGATTTTTGTTACGGGATGTAACAGTCCTCCCTCCTTAAAAGTGTTCATTGTCCCAAATGAACTTAATATCTATGAATTGTGAGCTTGATTTTTATCAATTTCGTACTCTTTCATTCATCTCATACTCATACATTGTAGTAAAGGCATTTAATCGAAACTACGTTTTGTTTATAAAAGTGAGGACTTTGCTTACTATAAAGGAGGTACGTGCTTACTCTCGATTATGTGTTTATAGTGTATGGTGTGATGTGATTTGTGTTATCAGTTGCGCCTTAGGAGCAGTGATCTCGTAAGTATTATTTCGTCTTCTTCATACGTTCATTGACTTCTAATACGTGCAAAATTCCTTCATCATTTGTTTTTATTAATGGGTTCTCTTCTCTTGAGTGACATAGTGGGGATCAAATCTTCATTAGTAATCGAACTGCAACCATGGAAAGTGGACGATCCTCTGCTGATACTTGGCAATATGACGACTTTTTAGCAGGTAATTTGGAACATTAATTTCTAAATACATTTAACTGGTTTATCTATTTCCATACATGTACTTTATTTTTTTTTTATTGATGTTATGTTTTTTTGTAGGAAGAATTCCACCTCAATGTCCAACTAAATTAGGCCAATTTTTGGACAAAATCCTGCTGATTTCAGTAGATTTAGGCCACAGCTTGGGAGTGTGGCAAGCACTGAGAGATTTGTGTCAAAATATGGAGCAGGCGAATCGGAAAAAGGGTCGTCCTAGTCGAAAAGAGTTGGAGCAAAGGAATCGGACGACTCAGTTCGATGAAGTTACTAAAGAAATCCTCAGCGTCAATGCAGAGTTGGCGGATGTAATTTCATTGATAACGTTAGTATTGTTTCTTTTATATCTTCTTATTTATGAAAAGATATTCTGCTTTCATATCGTATTTTTATTTATTTCTCTTGTATTTTTGTTACAGTTGTCCAGATCGTCTTTCAAATTGTTGGTGTGGAAAGTGCCGACTTGGTGAACGAGAAATTCCTGATGGTAAATTTTATTTTTTTACAATTTTCTTATATATCCATATTTGTGGATGTATATACATATACTAAAGTGCTTGTTTGTTTTGTTTTTATAGAAGTAGCAGATATTGCGGCGATACCTGGCCCCAGTACTGCTACCGATATGCAGGAATTTTTTTAAGTCGAAGTGAAAGACGAGCCAATAGACGAGCTTCCACAATTTTTTCAAGTTTTTGTGGAGGATTTTGAAGAGAATTTTTTCGTGGAGGAAGAAGACCCTCTTCAAATAGACTGTTAGTTTAAGTGTTTAGTGTTTGTGATTATCTTTTAGTCTTTTTTTTTTTTAAATTGTGATGTGAAATGGTATATGTGTGAGTGGTTTTTTGTGTAGCGTAAATGTGCGAGTGTTTGTTGAATAAACGAGTTAGTTTTTTATAATTTTTTAAATTCTGTTTTTTTTTAACTCCTTTTTTCTGCTCCATCCTTACTAATTTTTAACAATTATTATTAAAATTTTCTTTAAAATACATTGAAAGTTAGTTAATTATATTAATTTAATAATTTGTATTTAAAAAAATTTTTTTTTTTCTCTTTTTTTTTTTTTATAAAATTTTCTATTCTACCAAATATAATGTACATATACATATATACTATGAGAATATAGTTTTTCTATATATAGAAACTTTAAATTGATTAATTACTGTATATATGTATAGGTAAAAACTAAAAATTTTTTATTATTCTATGCACAATTCTATTATAGCTATAATATTTAATGAAATTTTCTACTTTTTAATTTATATGTGCATAAAATTAAAATTTCTAAGATATATTCGTAAAATTTTAATATCCAATACAAAGTATTTCAATTGTTCATCCGTAAGCTTTAAATTCTTTACCTTAATAATCACATATGTATACATACACATACTCATATATTTTATATGGGCATATACATGCATATACACATGCACATAAGATACATTTTTGTATTTTTATAAGTTTTTCTTTTAAATTAATCAAATGTTTTGTATTTTAAAAGATGGACAATTTAAATGTATTGGAGTATTAGAGTTTTGTACATTCTTTCGCTCGCGCTGTGACTTACGATACATATTAGTCACGTAGTTGCTGTTAATGAGCGACGTGATGATCTTCTTCTCTCCGCCTCCTCCGTCCGGCCGCCCAACGTAACGTGATATTGAAGTGCGAATCAATGGCTAGTTGACATTAGTATGTGATTCGTAATTTCATATTAAGAGGCCATTATAAAGAGGCGTGTATATAGATTTTAAAGATGGAGAAATGGCGACAATTATTTTTTTTTTTTGCTTGTTTAATATGATGAATTTTATTTATTTATTTTTTAAATTTTTATTGTATTGTCCTCCCTCCTTAAAAGTTTGCATCATCCTCGATGTAAATGGATGGAATGACACGTGAATTTACGGAATTTTGACTTCTTTTTTGAGAATTTTGATTTCTATTATTCGAATTTCTTGTCCTTTTACTCCTGGCATGAATGGATTTGCAACATGTATATAAATATCTTGCAATGACCAAAATTATTAACAATAATATGATTCGAAAGGCAATGTAGAAGTAAGTTTTGACGTCCGTGATCCAACCAAAAAGAGGAATTTCCATCTGTGAAATTGATTAAATATTTTGAATTTTGTTTTATTTATTGGGAATAATAATTTTTTTTTATGATTATTAGATAAAAGAAAAAGGTATTGAATTTTGTTGATTTTATCTTTCTTTTATCTACAACTGTTTGTTGTTTTGCTCCCCCTTTTTTTTTTCAATTTGACAAGTATTATAATAAAAGTATATGAATTTGACTTATAGTAATGATTAAATATAAATGATTATAAGATATGTAATACAAATAGTAAGAATTGTATATTTTCTCTTATACTTTAATATTTTATTATGCTCCTTATGCGGATACCAATAAATTTTACTCTTAATGATTAATAATGAACTAATCTAAATCATGCAATTTTAATATAAGTATTAGTTTTAAAGATATTAATCATGCGTTATGTGCTATAGGTGCGATATATGTTGCCTACCTCTAAGATTTTAATTTTTTAATACATGCATTCATTGTATATTTTCTTTGCTTAATATTTCTCGTATACCTGTAGTGTTATAAATGTGAGAAAATCATAGGAATATCATTAGGTGTACGAAGTATTTGATATAATTAAACAAAACCCATTGAAATGTGATAAAAAGTATTATAATTTGTAGTACAGAGTAAGGGAAAAATAAAATATCTCTAAGTGCAGTTGTTCCTTAGTTAATTGTAATTTTTACGTACTATGCACAATGTGGAATTTATATAAGTAAACCAGCATTACTTATACTATTTCAATTGTTGTTTGATAAAATAAATCTTAGTGTATTGTTGATTAAATGTTTATAATATTTGGTCATTATTATAGAATTAATATGCACTATAATAATAACCACATGTTATAATAAACACAAATGTGTAAAATCATGCAGCTTTGTAATATTAATGGTTATATATATTTTATTTAATAGCATAATGTAGTCCTAACAATATGGATTAATATGTTTTTCTTTAATTATCACGAACTATTCTAGCATTAAAATTAATAAAATAAAGCAAATCTATTAAAATAGAAATGATGGTATAGATTATGAATAAACGGCTTGTTAAAAGAAAGTAATACTTAAAGCAAACTTAAAGTTATTGTTACAATAATGCATATTATATTTCTCTGTATATTGTAAGTGATTATGTAAGTGCATTAGCATTCTATAATAGTAATGTTTAATGTGGAGTCAATAACATAAGAGAGATAAAAACTTATGACCATTCTTATTCTAAATTGATTAAATACTTTGTATATAAATGACAACTGTATTTCATGCATTCTTAACTATGTTTGTATAGGGAAATCGTATTTTTGTTTATTTAAAATCAACTGAATAAAATTAATTAAAGTTCATGCTCATTACTTCTTAAATGTTATTACTACTACGCAGCGTATTATAATAATTATTATATAAATTCAAACTCTTTCTTTAAAAAAAGCAGTTAAAGTAAATAAAATGAATATCTAGATTAATGTATTTATTCCTTAATGATGTAAGTTATAAAGTTTTATAGAGTGATGCATAACCTGACCACCAAAAAAAAAATAAAATAATAATAATACTAATAATTAAAAGCAAATTATTAAAGTTTACTTTAATAATTTGTATAATTACATACTAGTTTAGTATTTCATGCATTAGTTATATGATTATAAAAGCAACTATAGTGATTGGTTGTAAAATAGTGTTTTTAAGCACGGTTGTAGTATTTTATAGTTACACATAATGTTATTTTATATATGGTTCTTATAGCCAACTCCCCTTTTTTCTTATTTGGATAAGGAATATGTTCTAATACTACCTTTTTTTTAAACCTTTTTTTTTCCTTTTTTTTTTGTTAGTAAATACTAATAAATGCAAATAAAATAATTTCCAATATATAATTGTTAGTAAAGGAATGAATATTTACATCTTGATTATCATTTATGTTAGTTAACTATCAAAAAAAATTTAAATTGCCATACTTCATTTTTTAGAGTCCATTGAGTTTTTAACGAAATCTTTTATTTCGTATTTCGTTTTGACACTCAGTCATCACGTGTTCTCGAGCATAACAATACTGACACGCATTTTCCCATTTAAAAAGTTTGATGCGTAGAATCTTTAAAGGACAATTAAGACAATATACATACGTGTTTTCTTTTACATTATTTATATTCTCTTCCTCACTAAAATAGTAGATTTCCTCCAATTTTTTAAGGATTTTTCTGGCAGCAGAATGTAAGGACTGCTTCTTAGATGGCTTTCCATCCCCTACAGCTACAAACGTATTGCCATTTTTCTTTTCTTCTATGGCTATTTTCATAAAGAAAAGTTGACTCTTTTGAGGACCTTCTATTCGATCCAATGTTACCACAGGTTTCGATAAATTATATTCTATGGCTAGCTCCTCCAATTGGGATTTTGCAAATTCTAATTCCTCCACTCTCCCTTTAGGAAGAATGTAGGACGGGTAAAATTGTCCTCGAAGAGGCTTGGTGACAATCCATTCCGCCATTGTTTTCCTAAACAGATAAACTTTATTAATATTCTCTTTTTTTTATAGGTAAGCAAGTTTTAACTTATCAACGTGTTTTTGAAAAAGTTTTCCTTCTTTACTTTCTAAAATTACATTGCTTTTATCTAATTTTTTATAAATTTTGTAAGGGCCATGATATTGGCTATCTAATTTTGTATGTAATTTAACTTCTTTCTGAACATAGACCATATCACCTATTTTTCCTAAGAATGGTTTGACTTTTTTATCATAGTTTGATTTAGAATTTTGTTTTCCTTCGATTAAATTTTCAGCAGCTAAAATTTTTAATTCATTTAATCTTATTATTAGTTCTTCTAAATACGAACCATAAGTTTCTAAATTATCATTAATAGGATAGCAACTAGGTGTTCGTGCAAGTTTACCGTATACTAACTCAAAAGGAGTAAATTTTGTTGCTTGATGAACAGAAGTGTTATAACTAAACATTGCAAAAGGCAATAATCTATCCCAATCATCAAAACTTTCAGCATAAGCTCTAATATAATCCATTAACACTGCATGACTTCTTTCAAGGGCTCCATTTGATTGTGGTCTATAACCTGAAGTTGTTACCTGTTTAATTCCAAATATTTTTGATAGTTTTTTAATTAATGAACTAGTAAATGCTGTACCTCGATCTGATAAAATAACTTTAGGAGAACCAAATTGACAGAATAAATTTTTCGCTAATGCATGTGCAATTGTAGTAGCTGTAATATCTGATATCGGTACAGCTATACAATACTTGGATAAGTTATCTTGAATCGTGAGAATATGTTGATTTCCATCTGGAGTGGTAGGTAATTTTCCTACTGTATCTATAGAAACTTTATCGAACACATCTAATGGTGTGTCTGTAATCAACATAGGTTCATGAGTTTTTGCCCTGACAAGTTTTTGTTCTTGACAAACAATACACTTCCTTACAAACTCAGTTATTTGTTCTTTCATACCTTGCCAAAAGTATTTTTCACGGATCCTTCTATAGGTTTTATTAACACCTTTGTGTCCTCCATATTTTCTATCATGATTTTCTTTTATAATTTCTTCTTGCATTTCTGTTTTTGGAGTAATGACATTTCCATAACAAATTGTCATTTCAATGTTATTTTGTGAAATTTTTTCTATTAATAGATCAAAGAAAATTCTTTTTGAAAGAGTATCAGTTAAATTACCTTGATTTGAAACTCGAATGGAATTTACCCTATTACTTTGCAATACATCTGACAAATTGTTAATTGCAATTATCAAATTTTCTTTCATTGTTTCGTCATAATGTTTGTGTTGTATTATTAAAGTGTAAATGTCAAATTTTCCTCTTGATGTAATAATTACTTGTCCTACCTTTGGCTTTTTGTTTTTGATC